AGGCTAGGATTATACACTATTGTTTATGTAGAGATGGTGGTGGAGGGGTCATTTTGAACTGTGTGTCCAGAAAGCCTTCCGTGAACCCCAGCTGAACTGAGGCTGAAATGCAAAGCAGCAGGCATCATGGGAAGATCTGGGATGGGGGATTCCTGACAGGGAGGAGCATGGGAACCCAGTCCTATTGAGAACTGAATGTTGTGTGATTGCAAAGCAGTAATGGTCAGGGTGTCTCTGACATGGTGGGTGAAGGTGGATGAAGCGATGTGGAGAACAGTAATTCAAACGGTGCTAGCAAATGTCAGGCCTTGAAGGGCAGCTTGGAGTCAGGCATTCCTCTTCTTTTAGGCACCATTCTCTTGCCCTGACCAGTAGAGGTTCTATCAGCATGGGCAATTAGGTCCTCAATGCTTTACATGAGATGAGTGAAGCACTGCATCCTAAATCTTGATGGCCTCCTAGGTCCCTCCAAATATCAAAACCACCTTATTCTCTGCTGTTCCGTAGCAATCTCATATTTAAACAGACCTCAGCGTTTGCACATCTCTCAGACCTTTCATGCTTATTCATCCTAGAAAAACAGCAGCGTTCTATCACAAAGCTTACAGTCTAGACACAGGACTGAGGGACGGGTGCAGCCTCTGATACGCACTTACCAGATAATTCCAAAGAAATCATTCACTTCCCTAGTAGGCAGCTTATGGGGAGAATCCGTGATAGCATGAGTACATTCAGCAGTCTCACAAAGAGAGAAACATCTTCTTTCATATCTCCTCCCCTCCCCACCTCCCCTCCCACAGCCTGCTCCTCAGGCTGCTGCAGTTCAACCCTCCAAAAATCTCACCTCCCTCATCCAGGCTCAAGGAAAGACACATCACCCATTTGCTAACGGGCACACTTCCCTTTCCAGTATTAGTTATCTTACACTCACAAGACTGGCCTTCTCAGCTAGTCAGGTCTTTTGGGAGTAAAATCTACCCCTCCTGTCTTTCCACACCCAACACCCAACTCCAAACCAAGCTTCCTGGCCTCGAGTCAATCCTGATTCAGAGCAACCCCATCAGACAGGGTAAAACTGGTCCTGTGGGTTTCTGAGGCTGCAAATTTATCTGGGCGCTGAAAAGCCCATCTTTCTCCAGAGGAGTTGGTGGTGGGTTGGAACGCCTGGCCTTGTGGCTAGCAGCCCCGCATGCTACCCACTGTTCCACCAGGGCACCTGACACTCTCATCACGCGAAGCCTGGAGCACAGTGCGCAATGGGTACTGAACAGATGAAAATAAAGCAGTATCACTCTATCTCCTATCATCTGTTATCTATCATTTTGTTGTAGACTGTAACTATGGTTAACAAGCAAGAGTGCAGGGAGTGGTTCTAATTGGAAAGGCGTGGCATACCAACAAAGACAAGGGGTGAAGTCCTGAGTCTGGATCCTACATCTGCTTCTTCCTATGTGCAGATTCTAGGGATATTTACACCTCTGGGCCTGAGCTTCCCCATCTGAAAATGTGCACAACTGATCCTATTGTAGGGTGTTGTGAGGATCCAATACTATGTATATGAAGTATTTAATACAATGATTGACTAATAACTGAGAGTACTCTTCTGGCTGTCGCTATTAGTACTACGACTACTTGATAACTTGGCTGCAAACTTTCCACCCTGTAAATTCATGGTCAGATGAGGGAAGTTTACCATATGGTGGTGTCCTAGCTGTAAAATGCAATAATCACAGACCCTACATCAGGGGTTATTATTTGGATTAACTCTGGTTTAAGTATTAATATCATGTGGTTGGGTGAGGGTTAGCTATTATACGAGGGGGGGTCTTAAAAAATTCATGGGGAAAAATGGAATTAGGAGATAATGGAATTTTCCCCTGAACGTTTGAAGCTATTCTGAACCTTTTATTTGTAAACAGTACCTATTTAGGATACTTTCAAATGTACTATGATCACAAAAATATACCTTGGTTAATATTCTTGTCGCACATTCTGTTTTCTGACTTCACTCTTTGAAAATATCCCTATAGAGTATACTTTATCTGCAGGAGAGCAAGAAACCTGGGGGGTTTCAAATTATTTACAGGTGTTTTTAGGTTTCAGTGTCCTGTTAGGCAAAAGGTTTCTGATAAATCCTCTTAAAAAGTTTCCTCACATTTGAATCTGCTGCTGCTGAAACATTTAATCTTTGGGAACAAGTCAAATAGTCTCCAAAAACAAAACTGGTAAGAACAAAGCAGAATAAAAAGAAATCAGAGCAAAAAGTCCTCTGCTGGACACGAAGGAAACTGCAAGCATCTCCACCATCACAGCATGTGGACAGGGTGGTCCTCCCATCAGGGAGACCACCATTGTGGTTAAAAAAAAAAAGATAGATAGACAGATGAATAAGAGACATAATCTCGCTCCAGTCAATAAAAAGGGAAAACAATGAAATGACCAAGAACCATAAGCTTCTAGAGTGTTGCAATCACATCCCTCTCTGGCATCAGATGAAGTGTGAATTTAGCAAATCTCATAAAAACAAAAACATCCTGTAGTTGTTACCTGGGTGTCTGCTTACAAGATGACAAAAAGCCTGACTCTAAAAGTCCACAGGCTTCCATCTAATAAAAGCATCGCTCTTCCTAGTCCCACGGCATCACATCAGAGAAACAAAGCAAAGGTCAGCTGTCTGGTGTCATGGGCATCTGCCTGATGGACCTGATATTCATTCACCTCCTAATCCAAGCTCAAAGCCAATGGTTGGTGCTGGCCATGAGCTAGCCTAACGGACCATGTAGCCCCCATCCATTATGAGAGTTCTCCTCCTGTGAGCAGAAAGACATTCTGTCCTGGAACTGGTCATCCAAAGAGTCATCTTATACCTGAGATGGGCTGGGGGTGATTCCAGAGTCTCCAGGGGAACCCCTGTCCCCTGCCCACCATACATCCTTTCCCCTTCATCCACACCCAAACAACTCTCCTGTGGCTAGAACACACGGGAAAGTGCATGTAAATATGAATGCCTGTAACAAACCAGGAGTGGGACCCACACAGGAAGACAAGAGGAGCCATGGGAAGGAAGACAAAGAAGGGAGAGGCCGGCTGGGACATGATAAGAGTATTTTAAGGAGGAGCTGCTCAAAGCCAGGTCTGTACAGTTTGCTGAATTCTTTCAGCAGAAAGAATTCTAGAGTCTAGAGAGTGATAATTACTATGTGCTCTTGGGGGCTGACTTCTGGAAACTAAATCCTATCCTCTCCAATCCTGTGCCCACCCCCACCCCCCACCCCTATAATGTGGAAGAGACTGCCAGCCAGGCACCCTTCCTCTTTCGCTAAATCTCCACAGAGCTGGCTAACTTTCACCTCCTCCTTGAAAACGTGATCCCATTTGATTCTTTCCAGTCTCCATCACGAGAGGATGGTTCCATTTTATACCTTGCATGCTCCTCCTTGCCAAGGGATAGAGACAAAAGAAGAGCCAGAGAGCCACTAAATGTCATGAACTTCATTGCTTTCTTTAGCAGGTCATCTGTGCTTTTGTTCTTAAGTAGTCAGACATAACTGAGTATTTGGAATTCCCCGGAAATCTCTTTGTAAGCCAGATAGGATCAATACATAGTCATAGTATGTTTAACCTGCATTCACAATAGTTTCCAAAGGGCTCAGTGGAAGGCAGGGATTTGTGCACCAATAGGTACCTAGGAAATCTCTGGGGCCTTGAAGGTTAACTCCCCTATTTTGGTTTGCAGGGCTCCTTTAAATCACACTCTTCCTTGGTGAGTTCTTGACAATTCAGCTGTATCCTTCACCTCAACCCTTTCCTTTCTGTGGGTATTGTCTTAAAATACCATTCTCAAGCAATTTGGTCTGAGAACAACAGTGATCAGGGTCAAAGCTTTAAACACACCAGCAACAGGACAGGCATGTGGCCTGGAAGTTAGTTCAACTTTCCAGTGTGGACAATTTCATTTAAGAGGGAGTACTCAATCAAAGAGAGGCAGGGGAACTCAATCAAAGGCTGCCAGGGGAATCAGTGAATCTGTTTGTACTTAACTTCTTCCTCAGGCTTACTCTCTCAAAATCCTAGAGAAAGACATTTCTCATGCATAGCCATCACCAATTCTGTGTTGTCTTTACGTGAGTGGTACCATGTGTAGACACTGGAACTTGAGTTTGCTTTTCTGTAAGCTGGGTCATGAGGGAGGTAGTATCATTCTACTTTACACAAGACACAGTCACCCCAATTCCACCTCCTCCCCAATTCCGTTAAGCCTTAAACCCAAAAGCCAGTCTGGACCCAACAAAGCAATGAAATCTTAGTTTCTGTTCAATTGATGAGCACTGCACTATTGCTTTAGTGGATAACAGGAATCAAGCACAGGCAACCAGTGTAAATGCTATTTCCCACCAGCAAGGCATTCGCATCTCAGTAACTTCAGCATCAGAAATCCACTTTCAGACAGAAGAAAGTACCATCTCTGCCCACCAGCCCATGGCATCAAAGCCCCTCAGGAGAGCCCAGGCAAGCCAGGTTCAGGACAAAGCAATAGCTGTGCCAGGCCTACAGAGTCCCAGATTGGCAATGCATCCGGGCACAGGCTGAGTGCGGGCACCTGGACCAAGCCGGACCTGTCCTGTGGTGCTCATTCACTTTTGAGAACACTTTCCAGGTGGAACCCAGGCAGACACCCAGCTACCCAAGCCATCAGGCTGGCTGGCACAACAAGCAGGTCAGGGGGCTTCTTCATGCTTAGGGACTCTGCCCTTTCAGTCCCTTGCTCTTAACAAGTTCCCTGAGTCTGTTTGGGGGATGAGTGGTTCCCTTGCGACAGTCATATCCCCAGGGCAAAGCAGCAGCTCCTGCAGGAAGGAGCCTTGAACTCTAAGGAACTGGCGCCCCCTCCTCCAACCTAGAAAGCTCCATCCAGCTCAAGGGCCTATACCCTTGCCCCTCACCATCCCCCTCACCCCCCACACAAGCCATCAATTTACAGACCAGTGGCAGCTCCCTACCTGAGGGTGGCGCTCTCCCCTTGCCGGACCGTCACGTTGTCCATAGCTTTGGGGAAGGTGGCATCGCCGCTGCGCACGGGCACTCCTGTGGGTACAAGGAACAGCAGCCTGAGAGACACGACCACGAGGCACTTCCAGGGCAGGAACAGGTACCCACAGACCCCCATCCTCGACAGACACAACTTCCCAGAACTCGGCCGAGGCTCTGCGCACTCCCCAGCGAGCACAGGAAGTGGGGTGGGGTGGGGTTGGGAGGAGAGGGGGCTGAGCGGAGCGCGGCTGGAGACCACGAGGAGCAGAAGGAGGAGAACACGCCTCCGAGTCGAGTTTTCCTTCCCCAAACCCAGCCTCAGCTCCCCAGCCTTGGCGAGCGAGTTTCCGTGGAGGACATCGGTCCGGCTGGGAAGGCGCCGATCAGCGGGAGCGGATGGCAGGTGCCAAGGTGCGGGCACGTTTTAGGAGCCGGTTCTTCCCATTACGAGTTGAGGCATGGCACTTTGGAGAGTAGTAAGCACTTTGGTACCGAGGGGAGGGGCGGGCTAAATTCCGCCAGCTGCCCAGCGGGGGTCCGGGATTCCTCAGTTCCAAGGAGGGCGGAAAAGCAACACTTTCTTTGTAAGTTTCGGAGGCAGGCTCGCCGCCAGGAGCAGATGGCTTGTGGTCACCAAGAAAGTCCCCGGCGCTGGCACCGCGGGGGAGCGCGCGGAAGAGGGGGCGACGCCAAGCAGAGGCTGTCCGCAATCCGGCCTCGGATCCGGCCGCCGCCGCCTCGGCCACTTCCCGGACACCCGGGCGCATTCGACACCAGGCGAGCGGGTACCGCGGCGACAGCCGACCTGCGCGCGAGTCCCCGCGCTCCTCCTCCTC